ATTACCTTCAAAACTCATGGAGTCCCTGATATGCGATGGTTTAAACGATTATCTACTGTCCTTAAACTTCTTCTCACCCCAACAGCATGGTTTCAGGAAGGGTTACTCTTGTATAACCAACCTGCTGACTGCGGTGGACAGATGGACAAGCATCCTCGATCGCAAGGGAAAGGTTGATATCATATATCTTGACTTCTCAAAAGCTTTTGATAAAGTTAACCACTTGTGTCTTATCAATAAGCTCAAACGACTAGGTATCAAACCACCTCTAATCGATTGGCTTACTTCATACCTAGGAAATCGACACTTTAAGGTTAGGGTTAATTTCACTTTATCTCAGGCTATGGAATGTCCTAGTGGGGTTCCTCAGGGCTCAGTATTAGGGCCTCTCCTCTTCTTGATCTACATAAACGATCTTCCTCAACAGGTAACGTCAGACTTACTACTTTTTGCCGATGACGTGAAACTTTGGAGAGAGATACGCAACCAAGACGATACACAGGCACTTCAGGAGGATCTGACTCGACTTCAAAGTTGGGCAGACGATAACGGACTTACGTTTAACACTTCAAAGTGTAAAGTAGTCCATCTGCGACATGTCGCAGACTACAGTTATAACTTAAGAAATTCCTCTCTAGTAGTATCCCAAGTCGAAAAAGATTTAGGAGTCCTGGTGCCCCATGATTTAAAGTCTTACGCTAATTGTGACCAAAATGTCTTCCGAGCAAACCTTGCACTGGTAACATTGAAGCGCATTTTTGGCCAGTTTGACGGAAGAACTTTCCATACAATCTTCAATAGTTTTATCCGTCCCCATTTAGAGTACGGAAATATAGTACTCCCCCCTCACTCCAAAAGGACAAGATCACTTTGGAGCGTATCCAACGGCGAGCCACGAAATCAGTTCGCGGACTCAAATCTAAGCCTTACGAAGAACGCCTCCATTCACTAGACCTTTACCCATTAGAGTACAGGCGTCTTAGAGGTGATTTATTAATGGCTTATAGTATTATTAACACTTCTGGACATCCTCTTAAACACCTACTCAAGCTTAGTTCGAATAATAACCTAAGGGGTAACACCCAGAAACTGGAAACTCAATATAGCAAGACGGGATGTAGACACAACTTCTACTCCTTAAGAGTTGTCAAAAGCTGGAATTCGCTGCCGGCCGAGCTAGTCCAAGCGACTTCTCAGGAGTCCTTCAAGAGGCAACTTGACCTATTCTTAAGGACCAAGGACAGTATCATACTATGATTTACCAATTTCTTTTCCTCTTTTATTCTTAACATACCTAGGTTCCTGCCTGGAGGATTTGGTGATCCCCTGCTACTAGACACGNNNTCGACCCAAGTTAAGAAAGAAAGCCCAAAAGAACCAGGCATCACCGCCTAAGCCGAGCAACCCAAGTGTTGCTGACGGAAATTACTGGTGATTTGGTCGCACAGTCTACTCCCAAGACTGTTCGTCCGGTCAAAAAAGGCCCAAGCCTCATAACGCACACTGACCTCAAACAGCAAGTCATTAAACATGAATCCGCCGTGAAACCTGGTAATTAACAACAGTTCGTGACGACTCTCTCATTATCATGAACCTCGTTGATAATCCTGACCTTCCTCTCAGTCTGCAGGACAAAAACGACAGGATGTTCTGGGTGAATTGAACAAGAAGCTAGAACTTCCTAGAATAGAGCCTTTGATGGTCACCCGGCTCTCTAGAGAAAAGGACTCTAAGCATCTAAATCACCCAAGGCTTCTCCGAGTAACACTTAAGAATGCTACTGATGTAGAGGACGTCTTACTAGCAAGTCACTTGCTGAAATCAGATGGTAACGTAAGAATATTGCCCGATATACCGTTCTCTGAGCGCAATATCATACCTAACATCCCTAAAAAATCTCGTGAGAAGTTTTTCCGCGGAAGAAACATAATTGTGCAAGGTATACCGGAGAATGCAGACCTTACTCAATCAAATTCTGACATCAGGGAATGGAAATTCATCAAACAGTCCTTGAGGCTCAAACACATACTGACTCAGCATGTGACGAGATTAGCCAAGAAGGACGGTGATCTTAGACCCCGTCTAATGAAGATAACCTTCCCATCTTCCCACATGTCGGCTGCAGTTCTGGAAGCATTTCGTGCCAACAGACGTCGATTGCCACCTGAAATCCACATGCACCCGGACAGGCCATATGAAGCCAGGACCAAGCACAAAGGCAAGTTGGAGCTGACCATTCCACTTGTGGATTGTCTAAACGATAAAAAAAACGTGTAAAGGACAGGGCCTACCACCTCGGTAAACCTCACATGGGTGGGCTACCTGTCCATTAACATAAGGCTCATACAGAAAAACAGGACGAAGCTCACGCGTTCCAAATTGAAAGCATAAACTGCTTATATATGAACGCCTCGAGTCTACCAAACAAACTGGATGAATTACGTGAACTTTGCAACGCTAATAAGGCCCACCTGATAGGAATATCTGAAACCTGGATATCTTCTCAGTTCTCGGACCAAGAGTTAGCATTACCAGGGATGACTTTGTTCCGCAACGACAGAACAACAGGAATTGGGGGTGGAGTAGCCATATACATAAGCTCTTGCTTGGAGGTGCACCAAGTTCACAACCTCGAGTTTAACAATCTTGAGGAATCCATATGGTGCTCTGTAAGACTGTCTAGCACTTCGAGGTGTCTAGTCGGTGTCATTTACAGGAAGCCAACTGCTGACATCGAGTACGATAGTCGTATGCTGGATGGACTATCCCGCTCTACCCGTCTCGGTTTCACACATATCCTGATTCTAGGGGACTTTAACCTTCCTAGAGTCAACTTCGTGGAACACACGTATACTGGAGGTGACAACTCAATTGAAGCTCGGTTCTTCAACCTCATCGATGACTTGGGCTTATATGAAAATGTGAGGTCGGCAACTCGTTGGAGAAACAGTCAGACACCATCGCGGTTAGACTGTGTATTCACAAACGAAGAATTCCTAGCTGACAACCTCTCAATCCTGGCTCCTCTGGGAAAGAGCGATCATGGCGTCATAGCCTTCAGTTTTGTCACCAAAACTAAGCTAAGGTATCCCAACAATAACTTGCGTTGGAATTTTAAACGGCTGAATGTGCCAGCTCTACACGACTATTTACAACAGGTGGTTTGGGATGTTCACCCCCAACTCGATGTGGACGGTCACTGGAACTTCTTACTGCACACGCTCTTATGTGCTACAAACCATTCAGTTCCTCAAACGGTTCCCAAAAGCTGTAAGCCACCTACAATAATAAAGAACCGTACCCTTCGCCTGCTAGGCCGTAAAAGGCACTGTTGGGCGGAATACAAACGAACTGACAACGACGGAGCGTATAGGCAATTCAAACATATCAGGAACATATGCACGAAGGCTATAAGAGAATTCAGGCTTCATTATCAGACAAAGCTTATGGACAAATTTGCCTCGAACCCTAGAAGCCTATTCCGTTATGCAGCCTCTCTTCGTCAAGTCAAAACAGGAGTTTCTCAACTGCTAGGTCTTAACGGCCCAACCAACAACGATGGTGACGCCGCTAACCTTCTGGCGGCACATTACTCTCAAACATTTCAGCCGGCTGACATCAACTCTATTGACGATAGTTTCACCTGTAATTCCACAGGGCTTTCCGAAGTGGACCTAAGCGCTGACTTGGTGTTCCGGAAACTGCAGCACTTAAGACTAGATACTTCTCCTGGCCCGGATATGGTTCATTCTGCCATACTGAAGGAGGCAGCCTCAATCCTGGCAACGCCGCTTAGCGTGATGTTTTCACACTCGCTAAGCCAAGGCAAATTACCGGAAAATTGGAAGTTGGCTCACATCACACCAATTTTCAAAGGGGGTCGGCGCAATGAACCTTCAAGTTATCGGCCTGTGGCTCTTCTGTCATTACCTTCAAAACTCATGGAGTCCCTGATATGCGATGGTTTAAACGATTATCTACTGTCCTTAAACTTCTTCTCACCCCAACAGCATGGTTTCAGGAAGGGTTACTCTTGTATAACCAACCTGCTGACTGCGGTGGACAGATGGACAAGCATCCTCGATCGCAAGGGAAAGGTTGATATCATATACCTTGACTTCTCAAAAGCTTTTGATAAAGTTAACCACTTGTGTCTTATCAATAAGCTCAAACGACTAGGTATCAAACCACCTCTAATCGATTGGCTTACTTCATACCTAGGAAATCGACACTTTAAGGTTAGGGTTAATTTCACTTTATCTCAGGCTATGGAATGTCCTAGTGGGGTTCCCCAGGGCTCAGTATTAGGGCCTCTCCTCTTCTTGATCTACATAAACGATCTTCCTCAACAGGTAACGTCAGACTTACTACTTTTTGCCGATGACGTGAAACTTTGGAGAGAGATACGCAACCAAGACGATACACAGGCACTTCAGGAGGATCTGACTCGACTTCAAAGTTGGGCAGACGATAACGGACTTACGTTTAACACTTCAAAGTGTAAAGTAGTCCATCTGCGACATGTCGCAGACTACAGTTATAACTTAAGAAATTCCTCTCTAGTAGTATCCCAAGTCGAAAAAGATTTAGGAGTCCTGGTGCCCCATGATTTAAAGTCTTACGCTAATTGTGACAAAAATGTCTTCCGAGCAAACCTTGCACTGGTAACATTGAAGCGCATTTTTGGCCAGTTTGACGGAAGAACTTTCCATACAATCTTCAATAGTTTTATCCGTCCCCATTTAGAGTACGGAAATATAGTACTCCCCCCTCACTCCAAAAGGACAAGATCACTTTGGAGCGTATCCAACGGCGAGCCACGAAATCAGTTCGCGGACTCAAATCTAAGCCTTACGAAGAACGCCTCCATTCACTAGACCTTTACCCATTAGAGTACAGGCGTCTTAGAGGTGATTTATTAATGGCTTATAGTATTATTAACACTTCTGGACATCCTCTTAAACACCTACTCAAGCTTAGTTCGAATAATAACCTAAGGGGTAACACCCAGAAACTGGAAACTCAATATAGCAAGACGGGATGTAGACACAACTTCTACTCCTTAAGAGTTGTCAAAAGCTGGAATTCGCTGCCGGCCGAGCTAGTCCAAGCGACTTCTCAGGAGTCCTTCAAGAGGCAACTTGACCTATTCTTAAGGACCAAGGACAGTATCATACTATGATTTACCAATTTCTTTTCCTCTTTTATTCTTAACATACCTAGGTTCCTGCCTGGAGGATTTGGTGATCCCCTGCTACTAGACACGGAAGCCTGTTAAGCGAAAGCTTCTTCTATTCCGTCCACAACCATTTTAACCATTTTAGCAGTCCGCTTAAATTAAAGGTATGTGTTACAGTTATGAAGTTGTCGGACCTGAAAATAAATAGGCAGCCTCTAGATCATTCTCGAACAAAAGAAAGTAAGGTAACCTCATTTTCTTACTGTATAGTTATATCAAGAGTAGCTAGTTTAATTGAAGAAGCCGAAAAAGTCAAAGTTGATTCAATGGAAGGTGAAGCTGATGATGGTCGATACATTGAATTAGTTAGTAAATTGTTGTCTTGGCATTTTAGCTTATATCAGTTCGTGATGAAACCCCTAAATCTAATGCCTGGCCATCAACTGTAAATCACAATCCTTATCCTTCACACAGGTTTAAACCCCTCATTTAGCTCTAATCAGTAGGTGGACAACTTTAGCGTCTCTATAAGGTCGTCCATAAATTATACTCTAACCATTTAGTTTATGGATGATCTCCATACGTTAAGCCAAAACTACTTCAGAGTTAATATTTGTTTGGGGGATTGGGGGGCGTAAGGGTTATAATCACTCGTGAATCACTCGAGTCATCGTTGTTAAGCTAATGTGGTCACGACTAGAGAACTCCGGGTTGTAAAATGCTTTAAAATAAAAATGAATTGAAGTATTATTATAAACTCTGGTAAAAGTTAGGGGCGGTCAAACCGAAACGTAGCATCAGTGCTTAAAGTCACTAACTTCTAGTCTGAGCCATGTTGGTAGATGCAGACTACTTGGTTGAGGTCCGCGCTACTATCGTAACCAATGGTTGAAGACTCTTGGTGATATGGCTCAGAATCGACCACAATGGCGTCGGTGTATACACGCTCTGTCTTCCCTTAAACTATGAGGTTAAGATCGCTTCATATCTTTCTTTCTATGAACTGATTCTTTCTTCCTGTACTATATCCTTAATGTAATCTTTCTTTTATATATTACCACCTCTGAATTAACTACTTTTATGAATCCGGTGTCCATCTTGTTGTGTTAGTGATGTATGGCAACTTGGACTGATGCATATATGTGCCTGGTCCTACGTTGTAGCTGACTGATTGGTTGATATATATAATCCGGAATTTGTTCAGAGGGATGATAAAAATATTGCTTGGGTTTAAGTGGTAATTTTCATTGTTCTCCAAGAACCTTGTTCATATATTTTGTGCAGTTAAAAAAGCTGCGAAAGAGTCTAATATGTAGGGTTGCGCTGAACCCAGTGAATCTTATGAACTCACTTCCAGCCTGTAGTTTAAAACTACTCCGAGTGTTAAAAATGTAAGGCCTCGTACGAAAACTCCAACTGATTCTCCATAAAATGTCTTCACTAGGAGATTGTCTTAGATGTGTCAGCTAGTGATTTGGAAGGAGATTCAACACCACGTACTGGGATCGAGTTCTGGCTTCCCGTTTGTTGTCGACCCTATTAAAATCTATGACTGAAGCAGTATAACTTAAGTCACGTTTAGTCTTCAGTAATAAGGATAATATATTGGTGAACCTGTGTTAATGCTGACAGTTTGTCTTCCAGTTAAGGTTCAGCTTCTCATTAAAAATGTTCACCGATGGGGCTGATACCACCTGTTCGGGTAAGGTGTTCCAGTCATTGACAATCTTGAGAGAAAAACGAAACCTCACTTCAAGTTTATTAGATCGCGGTTAGTGAACCTTACTACGACCTCTGGGATTATCAGTGCTGGAGGGAGCAAAAAGATAAGACACATTAATAGCCAAATCGTAATTAAAGATACGAAATGCCAATACAAGGTCACCTCGCGTCCTTCGATACGACAAAGGGGAAAGGTTTAGGGATCACAAGCGCATTTTATAAAGACCCTTCGCTAATTTTGTTTCCACACGCTGAATACGCTCGAGTTAGTATCCTTAATCAGATATGTGCCAGCTGCTTGGATACAGTATTCTAAATGTGGTCTTACATAGGTGGGATATAAAATTTGGAACATCTCGTCAAAGCATTTGAATGCTCGGCGAAGTGACTACAACGTACGAAATCCTTTGGCCATAGCTGGGTTGCGGTGCGTATTTTTTTTTCAAGTCGTGACTTATTATTACTCTTAAGTTTTTTGTTCCTGAACTCATGGAAGAAATGTATCATCAGTAGTATACTGGTAACTATTACCGTATCCTTCTTCTTAAAATTAACTTCTAAGCCGCAACCTCGAGCCTATCTAACTAATTCGTCCAGGTCAGCCTGGAGATCAAAATGATCATCCTCACTTCTTATTGTTCTCCATATTTTTTAATAGCTGTAGTCTCGTGAGCACTTTCGAGGCATGACTATTCTGTTGATGTACCTATTTTTAGTCTTGTTATAAGTCTTTCCATTGTCTTATATTTACATAAATTAAGTGCCCCTTAGAACATGGACTTTCCTCTCGTGAATCCGTTAGTCAACAAGTCGTACGGTAGTACGTCACTTAAAAGCGTACTAAACAGTATATGAAGAGTATATGGAGAGTTTATGAGAACTCCAGAGCTTTGGCGAAATGTCGTCTCATCTAATTACGCACCCCGATATATAAATATCCTGATTAAAATAAACATTTAGGCAAACTAGTTCAATGATGGTGAGTTCTTTTGTTTTGAACTGACACAATTACCAATTGATAACCCTCAGGTGACTTTTACTGGTCCCTAGTACTTCATTTGTTGAGTTAACTTAGTTTTCCTCAGACATGTTAGTACGTTTCTTATAAATTATATTCTAGTATGCCCTTTTTATAAGGATACGAACTATTGTAGTTTTTATTTTTGCTTATAGGATTTGCTAATACCTTCCGATGCAAACGACGAACAATTGAAACTTCCAGTCGATTTTTCAGGCTCATCAACTGAGAATGAAGATTCATCTTCAGAATCAGAAAGTGAATTTCGTGAAATAATAATGCCATCTCAAGTTAGACTTAGTTCAGCAGTTTTACCTCCTTGTACATCTCGCAAACTTATAGAAGAACTAAAATCTGTTTGTACTGATGATTGCGTAATATAAGCTCACTTGTAAACTATTTTCTTCTGCAGCTTAGTAGCTTAGATGACAGCATTTAGACTGAATCATTAACCATAAGTTCGTTAGTTCACCCCATTGAATGCCCTGATACGACTGAGGGTGGGGAAAGTGCGTTTTCAAAATGCTCCCGTATGGACAAGCGTATATAGCCACTGCCAGTGAAGTTCTTTCAGCCTGCGTGTCGTTTACGAAACTGTGAGGATGAAAGGCGAATGTTCGGAGCTTTAACCAAATTGGTTGATACTGAGGATCCACTTGGGGGATCTGGAGTACCCTGATTCGAAACCAATGGTTCACATGGGCCCCAGGATCCTAAGGGAAAAATGCCATTGGAGCCTGCTTTTGGTCACAGACCATCGTGGAACTGCACCTCTTAACGTTGCTCCACTGCCTTGTGGATCAAACATCTGGGTCAAAGGCTCTCTAAGAAAACCACCTGCTTGTTAGAGGACCCGGGCAGCATCTCAGCACAGACACGAATCCAATAACTTGTGTGGCACGTTTCTCTTTGTACCAATGTTTGTGTTTAAGTAAAATAATAAATAAGTAGCCCAAATCTGTCTCCATGTGTTTATTAATCTTGCACTATCGAAGCCACACCCTATTGACACTGCTAAGCTCTGGGTACTGATAAAAGCCCATTTGTTAGGTAATCTGGTGTGACCGATTCTCTAAACTTGAAACAGTTTTTATCCGTTTCTGTGTATTGGTCTGTTGATATCTCAAATACATACATTATTTGCAGGCTAGTCAACTTATTCTATATTTGTGGTTATGGATTGTTTTTGATCTTATGGCATGGAGAACGAGTTTGAAGTACTTCACCGATTATTGAATAACTTTGGAATTCTTATACAAATGTCTACTTGACTGTAACAATATCCGCTATTTAATTTCTTGTCATTTAGTAGATAGCTTGCCTCATTAGTGAGGTGCGTTTCACAACTAAGAACATTTAAATCAAGTTAGACAGTAAATCTTAAACTTCGTTGAACTTACTTACGCCTGTTGCTCCTCGTGATGGAGCATAGGCCGCTCACCAGCATTCTCCATCCAACTCTGTCCTGGGCAATCCTTTACAGCTCCTTCCAGTTCCTATTCATCCTTTTCATATCTGCTTCTATTATCCGACGTAATGTGTTCTTAGGCCTTCCTCTTTTCCGCTTCCCTTCAGGATTCCAAGTTAGGGCTTGTCTCGTGATGCAGTTTGATGATTTGCGTAATGTATGTCTTATCCATTTCCATCATCTTTTCCTAATTTCTTCAGTTGAAAGCTGATTTGTTCTCTCCCAGAGAAGGCTGTTGCTGATAGTATCCGGCCAATAGATGTTGAGTATCGTGCGAAGACAGCTATTTATAAATACTTGTACTTTCTTGATGGTGGTTGTTGTAGTTCTCCAAGTTTCAGTTCCATACAGTAGAACTGCCTTGACGTTGGTATTGAAGATTCTGGCTTTGATATTGGTTGAAAGTTGTTTTGAGTTCCTTATGTTCTTCAACTGAAAGAATGCTGTCATTGCTTTGTCAATCCTTGCCTTTACGTCTGCATCTGAACCTCCTTGTTCATCGACGATGCTTCCCAGGTATGTGAAGGATTCTACATCTTTCAGAGTTTCGCCATCAAGAGTGATTGGATTGCTGTTCTTCGCTTTGAATTTGAGGACCTTGGTTTTCCCCTTGTGTATGCTGAGGCCTACTGATACACAGACTGCTGCTACACTGGCTGTCTTTATCTGCATTTGTTCATGTGTATGCGATAGGAGGGCTAGGTCATCTGCGAAGTCCAAATCGTCTAATTGATTTTGAGCTGTCCATCGTATTCCGTGTTTTCCTTCAGATGTCGAGGTCCTCGTAATCCAGTAGACCACCAGAAGAAAAAGGAAGGGAGAAGGTAAACATCCTTGTCTGGCTCCGGTCCTTACTTGGAATGCATCTGTCAGCTGTCCTCCATGCACGACTTTGCACTTTAGTCCATCGTATGAGTTCCGGATAATATTGACAATCTTCTCAGGAACTCCTTTGTGTCGAAGAAGTTTCCATAACGTTCCCCTATCCACACTGTCAAATGCCTTTTCATAATCAATGAAGTTGATGTATAGTGACGAGCTCCACTCAACTGATTGTTCGACGATGATCCGTAGTGTTGCGATTTGGTCTGTACACGATCGATCCTTACTGAATCCAGCCTGTTGATCTCGAAGTTGGGCGTCTACTGCATCTTTAATCTGGTTCAGCAACATTCTGTTGAAGACTTTCCCTGGTATTGACAGTAGTGTAATGCCTCTGTAGTTTTCACATTTGCTCAGATCTCCTTGACGATGTGCCCTTCTTTCCAGTCCATCGGCACTTGTTCCTCCTCCCAAATCTTTTTGAATAGAAGGTAAAGCATGTTTGTAGTTACTTCGATGTCTGACTTCAATGCTTCAGCTGGTATGTTGTCCGGTCCCGCTGCTTTCCCGTTCTTGATTTGTCTGACGGCCATTCTGATTTCTTTCTTCGTTGGTGGGTTGACATCTATGGGAAGATCTGTGTGTGCCGCTTCGATGTCCGGTGGATTCGTTGAACTGATGAGTGATTATTACCATGTACTACGCAACATGAATGTAAACTGATTTGTTTCCCAACTTTTCACATGAAAACAAGGAATTCAACAGATGAAAAGCAGAGTAAAAATAGTAAACAGAAGTAGATATGTAAAAGAAAAAAAACTGATAGAATCAAACAGTAACATTTATCAGATGTTACTCTATGGAATATAATACGTCCATCTGTTGTGCTTACCTTATAGATACTTCCCAGGAAGTTTGCTCTCCCGTGCTAGTAGTCAAAGTTTTTAGACTGATACCACATCTTTGTGTCCTTAGTCTTAAATGCTAAACATGTTTGTTTACGGATTTATAAGACTCATTAAACCACTGTATCCAACTAAGGCTCACAATCTCGCAATTAGTATACCGAGTTTTCGAAGTATTGTTAACTAACGCCAACTTATGATACGTAAGAAGCTTAATGCAATAGCACACAAGACAAATAACACTGAAGAAAAAGAGGGGGAAGGCATACAACAAACAATAATAGAATTTAAGTATCATAACCTAAGTTCAACCTGATAATTGTAAACAAATTAAGCATTGGGTGGATTGTTGATAAAAATAGTGTCAAATTTTTAATATTCCAATGAGTAGAAAATTAAACTTCTGAGGTTTCACAGCTTAGTGTAAGCCACTTCATCAGACAATAAATAGTTGAATTAACCCTTTTAAGTGGTACATAAGGAACAAAGCAGAATACTTTTAGTTAAATCGAAACAAGCATGAACATGTTTGCGCCATGTTATTCCTGTCTGAGGTGAATATAATAGAAAGCTACGAAACGATTACCACTGACTTTTATTCTGAGTTACTTTTACCAACATATCAAGGCAATCACTTGTAAGATTTCAGCGAGATAGTCATGGTGACCAACAGGTACCAAGTCAATACAACTTTATTGTTCTATGTCACAAAGTGACCTCGTTTTTTCCACATAGTCTTAGTGTCAACACAGTAGTGAACGACATGTAAGCCCCTCCAACAATATTTGTAAAATATATTCAACCCAAGGAAGTTAGTGTTCCATGATGGTAACCAATCGGATTGTCATCAGTAGACTGAGTTATGTGACTTGGACAGAAAACTGCATCCTGCTTGTGAGTGGACCTGGGTGTTCGTTTCTTTAGGTGAATTGTTAGTCACCGACCAAGGACCATAGTATGGTCACTTGATATTGTTGGGGACATGGACCAGTTGAGCTGTTCTTCAGAATTCCCTGTCCATCATCCAAAACGTTTTTTATGATTATTTACTGGCGTTCTATTAAACTCACTGCTTTCAACTTGTTACCACGTCCTGAACACTAATTTTTGCTGTTCTTGAGCAAGTGTTGAGATTTTATGTGTAAGATACCTACAAAAATTGCTGTATTCCCAATCTCTTGGTATAAACCGGTAGGTATTTAAAGTTTGTAAGGATTCTACAAAAATACATGGAGCTTCACGGGGTTTCACTTCATATTTCCATGGTATCATCTAGATGCAACACAAATGCCATGGTGAATAGCTCATGGTCTTTTTACTTTGTTATCTGATCAAACTGTTATTTCTTGTATTCTGGAACTGTAACTCTAATCGCTTACCACAAGAGTTATCTCAATATTCTTTTGTATAATAGGTAATCAACAGACGACATTTATCAGAACTTCATAGCATCTTATCACAATACGTTTTGAATAATTTTCTTACACTGAGATAATTCATGTTTATAAACAATCAGAACGAAACCATATATCTTAGGTATTGTACTTGTTGCAATCCATCAAGAAGACACATTGAGTCTAATTGGGGACAAAGTGACCTGGAGCGCTGTTACGGATATGTAAGTTCCTTCCTTCGGTTGCTCGCGCTATGAGAAGATACTTTTTATTGAGGGATATGTTATAGAATCTAGATTAGGTCTTGATTACCTGAAAGTGTGACTCAGTATCTTAAGGACCAGCCAACTGAAATCGACAAAATACGGCCGCTTCGTGAGTAGTTCTTAGTTTGTTAGCTTCTCTTATAAACCTTACTACCAGCAGCGGAGACTGTGGGGCAAGGTGAGGTGTTTCATGCTTAGCGATGATCATTTACAAATCTCTCCTTCCGTAGGGAGAAGACAGCATCGCTTCAGATGTTTATAGCATAAAAGATACATTTTAATACCTCCACACTCCTGTACAATCTGCAATATATTTCTGCTCCCAAGTTTTAGGTTTACTGCTTTCAGGTTCTCCAACCAGCCTCTTTGGAGTAGCACAAATAAAGAAACTAGTATTCCAGCACTTGTGGGTTGATTAGGCCATCACAAGCACCGTACCATGATACCAGCTACAGTCAAGCTGTAGTTGGCGACGTCATTTAATATACTCCAGAATTGATCACACTGATACGGGTGCATTCACTATTTATCTCCTTCCAGT